GTGCTTAGGCGAAGCCCTGCGCGGATCACTTTACCATCACTGTCACCACGTCGTCGTGCTGACGGAACTCTCCCTCGACACTTTGCTGGATCAAGAGTTCGAGGGACGTCATCAAGTTGAACGTGTGCAGAACTCGGAGGTGTCGTACGTTCGGTGCTTGATCGGTTGGAATAAGAAGAAGTTCGACTACATCAACCGCATTGTCAAACGCTTCCGTTGTCAGTCTATGAGAGTACGTGGACACACTCTCCCCTCTCGTTGTTATGCATCTCACAGATAGATCTTGCGTGAGCATAGAAATTTTTTGAAATTGCATGCTATGTCAACAGATAATATAATAGCATGGAACAATAAAAAAATTTGGATACATTGAAGACGTATTAGCAGACGCCCTTGTTGCAGGAGTGCATCCGCCACGCTCATCTCCTCGCCCCGCTTCTCCAAATATGGACACCAAGAGAGCAGATCGTCGAGCTTGTGGGAGTTGGCTTGGATCACGTGGGTGTTGTTGCGCAGGCCGGCACGGAATTTGTCCATGGATTTTGTAATCTCCTCGGGGTACTCCTTGATTGTGTGGTCCACGGTTTCAAGGCGGAGACGAGCTTGTCGTGGACGCCTAGTATCCATAAACTACACCAGAATGAAAGGCTGGTGTCTAATCTCTGATGCCAGATGTAAGTAGTAGCTTCGATCTATAGCTCACGAGTGCAGCTAGGAGGATTCGATGTCCCAATTACACATGAACTAGGGTTACAAGAATGGAGAGTCGAGGTAGGTGGGAGGGGTAGCTGCCAAGCTGTGTTGTTCTGATCCTCTGGATGTTGTCCTCCTCTGGAGTTGGTGGCTAAGTAGGTGAGATGGCGAGGTGGGCTTCACTGGGCTAGCCCGGTCCAACCACCATGGAATTGGGCTTGTGTTGACGAGTGGGCCTTGGCCTTGTGGTACTGTTGTGTGTGACACCGTCAGGTGGGGTAGCCATGTTAGGAGTGCTGACACATCGTCTCCACATATTTTGCTCACGCCCCGCTTGAGAGGCACCGGGTTTTGCCCATCAGATTAATGAGCGACATACATCGCCAGTTGGTGCCGTGTGTGTTAGAGCATATCCACTCGGCCCCCCAACAGCCCCATCAGGTCCCATTTTTATCATTGGCTCTAAAAAATTGGTCCAGTCGCGTTCTCAAGAGCCCAAATTTCACCGGTTAGGGCCGAAACTGGCGTCAGTGGACCCGGGCCGAACCCAGGCGCCGAGGGAAACAAATTTGGCGTGAAAACTGGTGGACCCGCCTAGTCAGCAGTTGCGCGTCGCCGAGAATCTTCGTCGTCCTCATCGCCTTGGTTTCTCGTGGGAATCAATGTGAAGGTTGTCGCCAGTCAGCCTTCATTGATTCATGGGCGACGAAGTGAAGGCACGCCACCGCGCGTCCCGCCCCCTCCCGCCACGCGTCCACACTATTGTTGCCCGCTCGCCGCCCGCTCGCCGCTATAAAAGCCACCCCTCCCCATCGCTGGCCGCACACTTACCTCGCCACACCTCTCTCTCTCTCTCGCCACCGACGCCCCTCTCTCCTTCGTCGCCCTCCCCCGTCTCAAGCCGCGACACCATGGCCGAGCGCTTCCCCGGCGATGAAGCGGCGGCCAATGGCTTCGATTGCCGCCACCTACATGAGGTGGAGGCTCGCCTCCTCTATGAGGCAGACTACCGGCGCCACCCGACATGCAGGGTGCCGGGATCGTGGAGGCTCAGCGCCGGCAGAGTCCTAGTGCCACCGCCACCCACCGCTGCTGAACGCCGTGTCGAGATCGCGCGCATCCAGTTGTCTCTGTCGAAGCATGCGTGGCAACAGCCGAGGTACGCCCCCGACAGCCACAATCTATGGACGACGTACTTCGAGCGCCGCCACACCGAGCAACTCGCGTCCACGAACGGCGTTGAACCCCGCGAGGGCCGGCGTCAATGGTGGGGTGTCCCGGGGTGCACTCTAGAAGCCGTCCTCGAGCACATCGAGGCCAGCAACTCGCCGCGGATGGAGTACCTGGTGGCCCCCTCCTTTTCTCGTTGCCGCGACAGTTCCTGGACGCCGAGGAAAATGGAGACAACATCGTCGTACTAGTCGAGCTCCCGTTCCTCCGGGTCGCCACTCCTCCCTGTCAAGCTGGAGCCACGGGAGACGTTGCTCGGGCGGCGGCGCCCTCGTCCGAGCGGCGGCGCCCTTGTCGTCAACGAGGGCGGCTGTGTCCCTTCTCGTCCCTCCTCCTGCCTCGTCAAGCCGAAGACCGAGCCGACGCTCCTTCCCATGAAGAAGGAGCACGAAGCTATGGCCGCCGACCTAGAGGACGGCCTGGCGTGGTCGTGCTAGGACTACGTTCGGGAGGAAATGGAGCGCCAGCGGCACGCTCTCGTCGCGCGGTGCTGCGGCCGTGACAAGGGCGGCGTCGTCATCCTCAACGACGACAGCGATGAGGAGGCGCCAGTGCCGACCAACCCAGCTCGCATCGACGACGCAGGTCAAGGGTGCAGCAAAGACGACGGTGATGGCGTGCAAGACGATGACGACGATGGCGACTACATCGCCTTCTACAAGCACCTCGGCATGTAGAAGGCTCGGGCGACAGCGGGCAGCGTAGTTTTTTTTAATGTCTTTGTTATGTCTTTTTATTATGTACAAATGTGAATGAAACCCGCCAAATTTAGCCAAATTCGTGTCTTTTTGGTTTAATTTTAGCCGAACTCAATTCAAAAAACGACATCTGGGGCCAACCTAGGGCGGTGGTTGGGAACCTGACCACCCCCACGACGAATATAGCGTCGAATGGCCTCAGGCGGCGCTATTTCAAGCCCCTGAGGCCGAACGGTTGGAGATGCTCTTATCCGGGACACATCTGCAACCCTTGAATTTGCACCCCCTGCAGCCTCCTCGTGGCTACAGGCTCGGTTATTAAATCCGCAGTTGGCTTCCTTGCTTGGTTGCGCCGCCCCTTCTTTGGAAGGCTCATGTCTTGTTTTGAGGGGTGGAAAATTCATGTCTTGGCTGATGGGTCACGTTATAGAATTATGTCTCAGATGCTGAAACTTGATACTCCCTCTGTTTGGAAATACTTATTATTAAATCTTTACCTAATAATAAGGCAAAATAGATTTCTTTCGTCCGTCATGGCATTTTTCAAAAAAGTTTCTCTATTTCAGAGAATTCAATCCGCAGTTCTATTTTTAAGTTAAAATAAATCGTTATTTTCATATGTTACATAAAAGTCCTCGTCTTTTCTCGAAATCAACCGGACGTCCGGATTTAAGTCACTCCCGAACCGTTATTTTACATTTTTCGAACCCCCTGATGTTTTAGGTAATTCATCTACGGATCATATTTAAATCAAACAAATACTTTTTAAAATCATCCATATCTTTTAAACCGTAACTCCGGTTTGAACATGTTATATATGAAATTTGATTAGAAAAATATGTAGAATATGAATATGAGATTATTTTTACCTGTTAAATATTTTTAAATATTATTTTGGAATATATTTGAGTCAAACCAAATGATTTTCTAAATTATCTATATCTTTTAAACCGTAGCTTTGATTTTAACATATTATATATGAAATTTTATTAGAAAAATGTGTGGAATCTATATATGATGTTAATCTCACCTGTTAAATATTTTTTAAATATTGTTATGGAAGCAAACTTATAATTTATAGCGCAAGATCCGTTTTTTTTCATACCGGCGGCGATCTAGATTGCAAATAAACACCCCACTATAACCATACATGGAAAAGAAAACATCGATAATTATACACGCATACCTCTGAAAAATGTCATAGGAGAATACAACAGATTTCTCATCGCGAGAGTGAGAGAGAGGGGGGGGGAGACGTCTTAGGATTAACCATATTCAATACACGTTTTTTGTTATTTTCTGTGAAACCGGGGCCATCGCCAGCGAGGGTGAGAAGGAGGATAAGCGGCAACACAAATATGATGCCTCGCAAAAATAAAGGAGATGAACCTATTGTGGTCTTGAGTGATGGTTGTTGAGTTAAGAGCGTGTGTTATGTTTTCTTCTCCCGTTGCAACGTCCGGGCTCTTTTACTAGTGAATAAAAAATAATATATCTAGATATATATATTAGTTTTAGATACATCCTTTTTATCCGATAGACGAAGGGACTACCCTCTACTGTATTGTAATGTATTGAGTCATATACGAGTATACCATCACCTGTGGCAGTTAGTTGATTTTCCTTGTATGTTTCTACGACAAATTGTCACTTTTTCTGTTGTGCCTATAGATTTTAAGGTATGCTGATAAGGTTGTCAAGTTTTTTCTTTAAACTAACAGTTTTGCTAAAGCACATTTGAACGTGCCATAAGTATTGCACATCTATATCGTATGTCATTGATCTTACATTAAGATTTGTGTGAATATTTTCTTTCTCTTTTTTCTTTTTTTCTTTATGCTTAATTCATTCACTTAGATATGCAATAACTAGAGCACATTTAGATATGCCCTAGACACACCCTTAAACTAAACGTGGAGAAAAATTCATTATTGCCTGTCCTCTAAAATCATGTACGTACGACACACCATTTTTTCGGTTTGTAGCTTCGAGCAACAGAGTGCCCATATATTGGTGGCATCAATCACTTTTACCATCTGTAAAGAGTATCTACAGCCAGACTTGACAAATCCGACCCTTCAAACGCCCGCGGACGCGTCTGACAAATTTCCAATCTCACAACCAGGCACCTCAATTAGCATATCTCAAATTCATGCAAACCCATGCAACTACGTAAACGATGTTACATCGTCCAGCTACTATAACATGCCATCGGACTATCAAAATTTGGCATGTTTGGCTATGGTGGAGAAGATTATCCACGGCTGCCCTTGCACTTCCCAACGCCCTTGTCGTCCTTCTCGCAGAAGTACCGGTCGAAGATGGAGTAGGGATCAAGCCGGATCTACTCCATAGCCACAAGAACAATCAAACACGTCCTTAGAGGATTTCCATCTTGTTCTTGATAAGCTGGGACCAAGCAACAGTAATCTCCACCTTAGAGTCACCAATCTCACATATACCTCGACTTATGTTGCAATATTTGGTCCTAAACGTGAGACGGCTTTGCCTAGCAATGGCACCAGATTGTGTGTAACTAGTGGTTGGGGCGTGCCCGTGGCGCGCCGCCTGAGAGGTGGTTGTGCGGTGCCAGGTAGGCACACACGCACTTTCTGATTTGTTTTTAGCAATTTGTGTAGCACAGCTGCATTCAAACAATGAGAGCCTCTTGAATGTACATGCAACTGATGATATACTTTATGTATCTGATGACATGATACATTCTATGATCCAACTAACGCCCGATGTGGTCAGCTCGTGCTAGAGATGGCACCGGCGGTGGTGGGGGTCTTCTGTTGCGTGGTCTTCTCAGCAAGCGGCTTCCCTGCTTCTTCTCCACCAACACAAGATGTGGTTGTGCTTCCTCCTAACAATCTCCATCTTCCAGTTCCAAAACTTCTCCTCCATCGCGATCTTCTCGCCAACGGCCTTGGTCGCCGCCGCCACCACCGCTAGCGCGTCGTTCAGAGACCTTGTCAGCGGCCTTGCTGTCCATCTCCTGCAGGACATGCTCCTTCCACTACATTCAGTCGGCGGTGTGTACAAGTCCTTCCTGTTCTTTATGATGGCCATAGGTTGAACCGGCTGCAGCATCTGTAGCCACCCGAGGCTGATCATTGGGTTTTTAAATTAGTTTGGAGGTTCCTAGCCGTGGTCATGCGGATAAGCTCTATGCTCACCGCAGATGATGTACTCTGGAGGTTCCTAGCCGTGGTCATGCGCATCCTGTGGTTTGAAAAGCGATTTAGACTTATATAAATTAGACGATGAAGTGAAACAGAAGATGCTGAGACATATATGTGGCAACATTGTTGTAGAACAGTAGAAGTAAGATGTTGGAACATATATGTGGCACC